TTTGTCTTACGGTCTCACCCATGGTGGGAAAACCTGGCATAGATGTGGCTGGGTTAACAGAAGAGTGCTTTGTCAGACTTATTTTAGGTCTGCTGATGAGGTGAAATAAACTAATTTATACCACCAGAGGGCTATACCAACCCAGCTATCGTGGTTTAGGTGGGGGAACAAAACCTGTTACCTCTCCCTGGTGTAGGGGGGCCCTGGGGCATCACTGAAGCAAGGAAAATTTCCGGTAGTTTGCTCTTTCATTATTGAGGTGTCTGGAGGGGATGTGCTACAGCTTTCAAACTTGTGCTGTACTTGTGCTCTGCAAGTTCATGCCGTGCCTTTGTGAGAAATCAAACAATTACCAGCAAGCATGTTGCTTCTTTCCTCCTTGCATGGGGTATTTGATACTTGTGGGAAATGTGCCCTTGGTAACTGAAGAGCTTCTGTCTTCTGAAAGATAATATATTAAATGAGTACTTACATGAATCACAGCTGCCAGATTGTGATCGCTGGGCATGTTGGGTCTTCTCAAAGGTGAGTTAGTATCTAAGGGTTGCAGGCTGTTTAACGTGGTTTCTGAGCCACAGCCTTAGCTCCTTCCCCTCTGTGAACTGAGCCTTGAGGGTCTTCGGCCTTTTGGATGGGGAGCTAAGAACAGGCATCTCTGAAGAGGAGCACTGACTCAAAATCACTGAGGCTATATACATATGGTGTAGAGCTGCTCAGAGGGCCTACACGCATGTTGTGTTGCTTTGAAGAAGGAGCCCTGGTGGAGGCAAGAGAGTGTTGGATGAATCTGTAAATGTATTGACTGATAAAAATACTGAAAAAAATGCAGGAAAAGTTACAATGAAAAAGAGCAAGGGGTTGAAAATTACAGATTAAATTGTGGGCACAGATTTCACTTGCTAAATCATCACACCTACTTAATGGATGTGGCCCTTGTCGTGTCTGGTGGTCCTGCTTGTGTTTGTGAGCAGAAGTACCCCCTTCGGCATTGAAGTGAGTTTGACCATCTCCTGCATATAGCTGCTCAAGCCTTGCATATGCAAGTCTCTTGATGATTCCTATTCAAGAGGCTTTTACATGTGCATAAAGCCAAGAGCATACAAAAAAGGTGCCACAGTGCCATATTCATTCAAAGCCATAGCTGGAGAAGAAAGTTAATGTTTTACCGCCTCTATATAAAATAAAGCACATCCATTAGATCAGTTCTCCCACAAATGAGAAGTGAAGATTCAGTTGAGTCCTTTCTGAGATGGTAGAAATTTGCATCTTTCGTTTTCTACTCAGTTCTACTTTCTATGAGCTGTGGACAAGAGAGATACACAGGCTCACTTTTGTATCCTGGTGGGACCAGTCTTCCTGGAGATCATTCCAGTTAACAGGGAACTTCTGCCTTGTTTCCCTATTCTTCAAATCTATTTAGAACAGATGCTGTGGTTTTAGCTGGCTTCTGCCTCTGTCTTCCTGTTCAGAGAAGAGCTGAGCTGAAAGAAGTGTGTGGTGTCCATCGTTCCTTTCATGCCAGAGCTTCTAAGCTGTTATCATGTAACAATAAAAAGAGATAAAATTCCATGAGAATAATATAAAAGTATGCATATTTGTGATCCTCTGACTTCACAGATGTCAGATGTGTTGATTTTGGAAAACTCTTCAAAAAGAACTTCAATTCAGCTTAAATACTTCCGGTTCATAGGAAAATCAAGACCATGTATGTATATATAAAGTAAATATATTTATGTATTGTGGAACAGAACAGCTGTTTATACTTCTCTTTCATCTGCTTACTGAAGTTGTACATGCTCTTTCCATTATGCTGGTACTGTAGCTTAGGTCAGAGAATAAATGTATGCTCAGTAAATGATCACCCTATGGCTCTAGCTGTTGTCTGGATTATCTGACATATGTTAGACAGAATAATCATGTCATTGGTATCATTCCCTTTCTTGGTTTTCATTTTAAAAACATTATTTCTTCTTTCCCCACACATGATATAATTTTCAGCTTTTAGTTCCAGATGTTTACAGATGAGCTTTCCATGGTCTGAGGTCAAAATCAGTATCAGCTGGAATTTTAAAGATAGGGTTATTTTTGTACCTTGTTGAATCACAAGTTCTTTCAGTATTTTTCTCCAACAGAGAGCTTCTTTTGCTTGTTTAGAGTCTCTTCTGCAGTTTTCTTCCTTTCTTAAGCATCACATTCTCAGCTCATTCTCCAGAAATAGCCTCCTTGTATTCTGTGCAAAGATGGATTTTAATGTCATGCCACTGTCCTCTTTTTTTTAAGAGCTTTGAGTGCTTTCACACGTTTTTCAAATAGTTGATTGTACCATTAAGTTGTAATTAACATCTTCTGTATTGATATTTTTGTAATTGATAATCTCTATTTCTTTGTGTAACTTCTCTCTGAAGGTTGGTAGTTGTGCACTGACTTAAGATATAAACTGGTTTGTGAAGTTATTTTCACTTTAAGACCATGGCTCACAGTTCTTTCAGTTGTGCTGATGCATCTGATTTTAGAATTGAATCATTGAATCACACTGATTGAGGGAAAGTAATTTTAAAAGGGATAATCTCAGTGATGCAATTTATGTTGCAGCTATACAAATAAGTTTATCAGCACAATTGGGAAGGAGGCAGATTGCACCAGGAGGATCAGAATTAGTAGCTGGGGCAGAAAGCTTCTTGAGGGAAAATTGCTCAATTATTGTTAGAGAAGCTGAGCTGTTTCCTTTGTTTTCTGTTGTTAGAACTGCCTTCCGGCTCCACCTTCGCCCTCTTCCCCTAATTTAGGTCAATTCTAATTTTTTTAAGTCTTTTGTCATAAAGTATTGAAAATGTTCATCTCTTGTATGAAGGTGTTTAGTTTCCAGATTGTTGTGACAGCAAAGTGACTTCTGACTCCAGATGCAGTGACAATGGCTCTCTTGATTCTTCTCCAGATCTTCTTTTGTGAAGATTTGAAAGAAAAATATGCTTAGATCGAGCTAATATTTATATGGTAAAGGTCATAGAATTTCATCTGGGTTAGTTTTTTGTGGTGTGTGAGAGAAATAGCAGATAGTACTATTTGCCATTCATTTGAAGACCAGTTAAAAGTAGAGCATTTCCTTCGGTTGTAGCTTTGGGTGCCTTCCTGTGCAGAAGATGGGCCAATGCATCTGTGTTGTCTATTAGTGCCAGGGTCCTCTGAAGACTCAGAGTTACTAGGTTTATTTACTTGTGGAAGATCATTCACACGTCCTTGGTCTGACCACTTTGAAGGTGGTAAAATAGTTTGATTTTTTTTTTTCTTATTGCACGTCTATTTGTCCTATTTCCCCCAAAGCATAATTGTCTGTGGGGAGAAAAAACATTTCAGAAATCATCCTGTGAAGGTGTTAGCAAGCATGCTGCAAGTACTTGAAAGGCCTGAGTTACCCAAAGCGAAATCCCATCTGTCTGTCACATGACTAATCAGAGACAGCAATTCTTTCTGAGCTTTTTCTTTGGAAAGAGTCAGAGAAAAAAGTTTCCCAAAAGTTACCACAAAGCCTTCTCTGAAAAAAATGCCACGTGCACAACATTTCCACACTGAAGATGTTCAGCTCCAGTTTGGTTTGGGGTGCACTCTTCTTTTTAATTTTTTTTATCACCATTGAAAATCAGTTTCTTCTGAAAGGTTTTCTTTCATTTGTCAACAGTGTTTGAGTCTTGTTTTAGACTGTTTTTATAGAATATGTTTTCAAACATTTGAGAACTGTCTTTATTAAAGGTATCACGTTAATCATTGTTTTTCTGAGAATAGTTTAGTTTGTGTGCAGAATGTTGGGCTTTTTTACTGCTCCTCTGACACGAATATGCTTGAGGTGACCTCAAACTGGTTCTTATGAATACAGTAGTGTGGTGAGGTTTCGTTGGGGGGGAGGTGGGTGTTTTCTTTGTTTTTTAGTTTTGTTTTTAGTAGTGGGGAATTGCTTATATACAGTTGTATCATTGGCATCCACAATATAGGTAAATGTGGGAGGAAGGAGTTGCACATCTCTGTGAAAAACAAGTTCTAAGACAAGTCTAGAATACTAAGAGATAATCATACTTTGAAGAATATCAACATTTTAGCTTATTTTCCTCAAAAAAAATATATGGAGATAGAAAACTTACTATCTTCATTCAAAAAAAAAGTGCATTTTCTAAATGGAAATTGACCAAAGAGGTGTGAAAATGAACTGCACCTGGCAGTTGGAAGACTTCTACAAATTCCTTTTTCTTTGGGTGTTTAGATTAATAAACTTAGCTGGAATCTGGAAAAAAACAAATTTGAAATGCCACTGACTTGCTTTGAAAACCACCTAAGAGCATAGCCAGATGCTTGTTAGAAAAACAGTTGCAGTGATAATGAGAAGTTCTTTCACCTCAAATGTGGTGCATAACTGACTTGAAAACTCCTCATTCCCTGCAGGATGAGGTCAGATGCGTTCAGGTAAAGCACTGTCGGGATTTCTCTGTTCCCTAGTCATTGAATCACCAGTGCACCCAAAGTTGTATTTGTCAAGGACTTTTACAATAAACAGATATCCAACAAACAAACAAAATTTGGTGGAATTATTTAAACACACCTTGTATTTAAAGTATTAAGAAATATTACAAACTAAGTTATTGGTGCTTCGTATAAAGATTAGATTGCTAGAGACATGCCACAGTTTAATTTTAAATATATTGAAATGAAAATCTGGTTTAGCATTTGCACTTTGCTCTACCATTATTTAATAAATATTTCTGTAAGAGGAATTTAATCTCTCCTTTGAAGGCATTTCATCCAATAAAAATTATTTCTGCTATCCAGATAGTTATGAGCTAGTTGCGTTTGTATTAGTACAGGTCAGAAGAGAGGTAAATGCCAATAAGCTTTGCAGTTGAAACTCACTCTGAATCCAATATTCGTTGTTTGGTTTGGATCTAATTCAATGAAGGCTGTTGGTATGCTAAGGTGAAGAGTCTTACATTTAATGTAAAATGTGTTGTTTCTAGGTCTACAGACAAGACTGTGAAACCTTTGGCATGGTAGTGAAGATGCTAATTGATAAAGATCCATCATTAGAGAAGTCCATTCAGTTTGCTCTGAGGCAGAATTTGCATGAAATAGGTGAGCGATGCATTGAAGAACTCAAACATTTCATTGCTCAGTACGATGCTGCCAATCAAGATCTATCAGAATCCTTCAAAGAGGGCTCATACTAAGGTCAGAAATATGCTTATAGATCCTCTTAATTGTGTATGCCATGGTATATAAATCTGCTTTTTGCAGGGAAAGATGAGATCTTTTTGGAGATATGAACCCAAGGCTGTGCTCCTTCGAGGCAGCTCAGGTGGCTGTTCCCTTGTTCACTGTGGTCTCCACAATTGTATTGTTCCTACCTGTACTTGTTGACATATATTCCTTTTAAAGAACGTTCTTTTGAAAAATGTTGTAAAGCAATAAACTATTTTTGAAACCTTTACACTGTCAGCTTGTAAAAAAATGTTCAGTCTGATGTATGCATTCTTATGTTTTGATGCTTATAAGTGTAACTTCAAACATTGTATTTTTTATTAAAATAATAAGACAGCTCTCATTCATCAACATATGCAGAAATATGTCTGGTTTTCATATATACTATAGGAAAGGAAGACTTGCAAAATTGGTCACAATTATGATTTAAATAATCTGTTTTGGTTTAATTTAAAAATTCAGATTAATTCTGTAAAATTACACAAGGGGTTAACTCTAGTCTCTGACTGCTAGAGCAACTCTAACTGCTTGATATAAGAAGTGCTGTATTTTTTTATAATTGTGCATTCTGCAAATGCCTTTTAAATTTTGGTGTTTTCCCTATCAGGACTCATTACTAGTAAGCAGTATTATGTAGGATGGATTCTAATTTTTTTTACTGTTTGTATTTGCTGTGGTTTTGACTACACCATACAGAATGTAACTGCAGGCAGCCACTGAGCAGGGAAAGTTCCCTTTTCCTACTCCGTTCCTCTCCCCCCTTACACCTTCTCACCACTTTTCACCCATCAGTTTTAACAATAACGAGGCTGTGTGTAATCTTTATTTCCGACTTCAAGAAGGAGCAGGAATTGGAGTGGCAAAGATGGGAAAGGAAAGTAAGCAGTACCATCTCTTTAGTAACCCCAGGTAGCTTTGGATTAGGTGTAAAACAAAGTTGATCCCTCAGGCCCCAAATGGACTATCATTTCAAACCTAGGTGATTCTGGGACTACTTTTTATGTGATAGAGCAACTTGTATTTTGGGAACAGTGATTGAGGAAAGTCAAGAGACTGCCAGTGAAAAATATTCAGGACTCGTTTGTGGAATCCTGACTACTGAATGAATGCATTAAGATACTGTTTTTTATGAACATTTTAGAAAAGGGATAATTTGAGTCATAATCACAAAGAGGTAAGTATAAGCATGATTGTTTTCTCTACATTTGCATTTAGGAACATGTGAAACTCTAAAAGGACTAATGACCAAACTCACCATTTCCAGATTTCATCAGAATGGGGTGCAGAAACATAAATGAAATAGCATTGATTTTGCACGTACAGGGTACTGAATGTGTCACAGCATCTTGCACACGCAAATCTCCCTATGGTGTATTAAGTATTCATTGCATCAGATTCCTGAGATGCCTGGTTAGTTCTCATGTCAGTAGGGTGCAGTTTTGCAGTTGGCTTTTGTTGGTTTCTAAGAGTTCACATTGCTCAGAGGAGATGACTGCAAGTACTCTGTTGGCACCTGTGTGAGTCGCACAGTAGTGGGAATCAGCTCATGGGCCTTACAGGATGCTAATTTGGTGAGGGAGAGAGGGGAAGAGAGGCAACCTGTTGTGACACAGTAGTGAGACCTGATGCACCCCTTCTGGCAATCTGTTTTACCAAGATCAGTTGTGAACTGTTGGGGATGAAGACGAAAGAAACAGAGAGGAGTGGGAGAGATACCGAGCTTGGAGAAAAATATATGAGGCTTAAAAGGACTTGTCACCGCCAATACGGACTTTGCTAGCCTGTAAAGGCTATACACGGACTTGACAGTTTTGCCCCTGTTATTCCCAGTTATCCCCAGTTTATTGTTATGAAGTTATCCACATGTTTGTACCCCTGGTTGTTGTTTAAAAATTATGCCCTCCATATTGTCTCCTTCTTCCCCTCACAGTTTCCCCTCACAGAGCCTGTTGCTCTCCCCTGTTTTCCCGCTCCTCTGCCTGATTGGCTGCTGTTTGCTGCAGGGCAGAGGTAGCTGCCATTGGTCCATTCCCCCAGATACCCGAAGTTGCCACCTCTCCTGACCCTGATATCCAATCCCTGCCTTCCCTGACCTGCCAATCTTTTTCTCCTCCCCTCGCTTGAGCCCAACCCCTAGTCCACCTCTATATAAGTCTGAGTCCCTCATAATAAAATCGGCATTGCTTCCCGACCCTCAGCTGTGTCCTAGCCTTTTTGCAGTGCCCTGTCCCTCTCCTTCAACCCACGAGCTGTGGCAAGTGGCGCCCAACGTGGGGCACAGTGAGGGCTCTCATACTGAGAGAACTCCTGTGCCAGCACTTGGGCTCAAGCGACCTTCACGAGGGAAGATCGCTCCGCCAGCTCTCCCCTGCACAGCTGACGACTGTGGACTGCAACAAGTCGCACGGGTCACGCACCGAGAGAGGTGAGCTGCAGGGGACAACCCAAATTCCCTCACCCATCACCACACCCCCGTAACCGAAAAAACAAAGAAGGGAGGAATTACACCCGGAAGTGTTGAGAGACCAGATTACCATCATGGGACTCACACTATCCACCTCCCAGAAATTCGTATATCGCCGCCTTAAAGACTTTATAATCGAGCACGGTCACCCACTGGACAAAAAATCAGCCAAAGCCCTCGCCAAATGGCTTGATCGCCATGACTACCAAATGAACGATAACACCTCGTTCGATACATGGCAAGCCATTGGATTTCAACTGTGGCGAGAGGGAGATAGGGGTGACCGGCTCGCCAAGAAGGCGCAGATAGCCTGGAGGCTTGTTCTGATGGTGCTCCAGCACCAAGTGATGAACAAGAATGTCAGCAGTAACAACAAAGAAGCTGAATCCTCCAAGTTATTAGAAGAGGATGAAAAGGACACTAAGGACACCGGCAAGGACAGTTTCTCCCCAGAGAAAGACATTGTAAAATCTTGTAAAAATGGAGGGAGGGAGAAAAAAGACCCTGACTCACAAGATGGCAGGTGGGAGTCGGACAGCGAGTCCCAAGATGGCGGGAGGGCGCGGGGGAGAGAATCGCGTCGATCTCGGAATGGCGGCGAGGAGGCGGGACCCCGAGTAGCGCGGGAAAGATCGAGGCGGGAAAAACGGAGGCAGGCTCCTGCAGTTCCACCCACAGCGCCGCCTCTGCCCCCATACACACGCGCACGGAGCCCCTCCTCAGACACGCCCTCTTCCACGCCTGCTTCCGCCACTCCCGACTCCTCCCCAGAGCCATCTCCCTCCCGGAAGCCACGGGGTGCAGTGGGTGGGGCAAGGGCAAAGGCCCCAGGTAACATCCGGCAAGATGGCCGCGCCCATAAGGCCCAGGCCACCGAGGCCTACCCCGCCTGCCGGTACTCCCACCGTGACTGCCATTGGGCGCCGTACTCCCCGGAAGAACCGTCCACCGCTCCCGATATCTGGAGAGCTTTCCGGGATGAGGTGGCAAGTGCCCAAGACACGGAATTTCTAAAAGCCTTTCCAGTTTATTACGAAGAGGGTAAAACACCAGAGTGGCGTCCAATCTCGTATCCCATGCTTAAAGACATCAAAAAAGCTATTGTGGAATACGGGTTGGGCGCCCCCTTTACCCTTGGGTTATTAGAGTCGTTTTTCCTAGCGTATACTCTAATCCCGTTCGATATTAGGGCAGTGATGGGAGGCCTGTTGACCACCGTGCAGGCTTCGGTGTTTGAAGCGGAGTGGAGAAAGAGAGTAGTGACCTATGTGAATGATAAAATGGAGAGAAGGGGAATTCCCCCACGGCAGGCAGTAGATATGCTTTATGGTGAGGGAGATTACGCCCGCAGAGGGGATCAAGCAAGATTAGACCCCAAATTGTTAGAGACATCTAAAGAATTGGCATTAGAAGCCCTAAAGAAGGTGGCCGACGCTTATGTGCCGACCCCCTCCTTTACCATGATTAATCAGGGCCCAAAAGAACAATTCACGGATTTCATAACCAGGCTTAAAGCTGCAATTGCCAGGCAAGTTCCTCAGAAAGAGTGCCAGGAAATCCTTTTTAATAAATTGGTAATCGAAAAGGCCAATGAGGACTGCCAGAAAGCGCTTAAGCTTCTTAAAGATCCCACTCTGCTTGAGATGATTGAGGCGTGCAAAAATATAGGATCTAACTCCCATAAAGCACGTCTACTGGCTGCCGCCTTCACCGGACCGAACCACTGTTTTGAGTGTGGGGAAAAGGGGCACTTTAAAAAGCACTGCCCCCGCCTTTCGGCGTCCACACCTGATCTACCAAAAACTTTATGCCGGAGGTGTGGGAAGGGACGGCACTGGACATCTAGTTGCCGTTCCCTCACTAATATAAATGGTGAGCCCCTCTCTCCTCGTCATTCACCAAGGTTACAAAAAAGGGTCACCTTCTCTTCACTACCAGATGTAAGACACCTTGACGAGGAACCGTCGGGAAATGGGGAGCAGAGCGCTTGGGGAAGCGCGACGACAAAAGTGGCCCCCCACTTGCGCTCTGCTCTGCGCACGGCCTCTCACCCAGTTACCCAGTAGTTAAATGGCCACTTCCCGAACAGGTTCCTTCTAAAAATCAATGTGTTCCACTTCCGTGGATAATATTATTTGCTGTTCATCCCACCACCCATCTTAGTTCGTATGAACAGCTAGTTAAAGTAACCCCATCAGCCCCTGTAAATCCGGATAGGACATATCTCATGGTGTCACACCTTTCGGCAGTGGACAAAGGAGTCATTGTAGTGCCCACACTCCTGACTGGACTTACCAACAACAATATTGCCATCTGTTTAACGGTCTATCTTCCCCCCGTGCAGCTGGAGGACCGCTTCCCGGTGGCCAAGATGGTCTCTATGGAAGACCTGCTGTGCGCATTGTCATCGGACGAGGAGCAGCGGAGAGAGGAACAGAGAGAAGTCCTCTGGGCCACAACTGTTAAATCCTCTCGTCCTCTGCTAACCTGTCTCATGTATTATTCCCAACCTAGGCAGCCGCAGCAGGTCAAAGTGGAGGGCCTCTTGGACATGGGAGCCGACGTGACGATCATAGCCTCCAGAGACTGGCCACACGGGTGGCCTGCACAGACCGCCTACGTACGAGTCAGTGGGGTGGGGGGAACCCAACATCCAGTCAGGAGCCAAGGGACACTTACGGTTTATGGGCCGGAAGGTAGGCCAGCGTCTCTCCAACCGTACATCCTCAACATACCAATCACTTTATGGGGATGGGACGCCATGGAGCAGTGGGAGCTCACCTTGAGCTCCCTATCCCATGAGCAAAATTTTTAGGTGGGGTCACTGAAGTACTGCAGCTCCCCAGACTGAGCTGGAAAACAGAGACGCCAGTCTGGGTTGATCAGTGGCCCCTACCTACCAAAAAGCTGCAAATTTTAAACAATCTCGTAGATCAGGAATTGGCAAAAGGACACCTGGAGTCTTCCACCAGTCCCTGGAACACTCCAGTGTTCGTCATACAAAAATCCTCAGGTTCCTGGAGATTTCTTCAGGACCTGCGCAAAGTAAACGAAGTCCTAGAACCAATGGGAGCCCTCCAGCAGGGAATGCCATCTCCATCCATGCTCCCTGCTGAATGGCCCCTAGTGGTCATTGATATTAAGGACTGCTTTTTTCATATATTTTTAGATCTGGCTGATTCGGCTAAATTTGCTTTTTCTGTCCCTGCCATCAACGCTTGCGAACCCCACCGCAGGTATCAGTGGCGAGTGCTTCCGCAGGGGATGAAAAACTCCCCACCACTCTGCCAAATGTTCGTGGCAGAAGTGTTGAGGCCAATTAGGCAAAAATTTCCACAATCAATCATTTTCCATTATATGGACGATGTATTGATTTGTGCGAGGACACAATTGGCGGTAGACAAGACCCTAAATTCTACAATTTTGGCTCTAAATAACAAAGGATTAGAGATCTCCCCTGAGAAAATTCAAAAGGAAGCACCCTGGAGGTACCTTGGACTTAAAATTACAGAAAAGACTATCAAGCCACAATCAATTGAAATTGATAAACGAGTCCAAACCTTAAACGACCTCCAAAAGCTGCTAGGAGCCATCAATTGGATCAGACCTGTGCTGGGGATCACAACCGGTGATCTGCACCCCTTGTTTGAGCTGCTGAAGGGAGACACTGACTTATCTTCACCCCGCTTTTTAACATCAGAAGCGAAAAAATCCTTGTCCATTGTCGAAACAAAAATTACACAGAGACAATCATATAGGAGGATGGAGGGACTGCCATCCTCCCTTGTCATCATAAGGGAAGAAAAACAACCCTTGGCCTTACTGGGCCAATTCACTACGGACTGTAAGGACTTCTGTTTATGGGAGTGGATATTCCTCCCACATCAATTCGGCAAAACTATCACCACACTGGCAGAAATGATTGGCAAAGTCATTTTTAAAGGCCGTACTAGGTGTCTAGAACTCAGTGGAGGAGAACCAGATTCCATCTACCTTCCACTGACTTCTGAACATCTAGACCAACTACTGCAAACTTCCACAGATTTTCAGATAGCCATCGGGGGTTACCCGGGAGAAATTCGGCTACATCTCCCGGCGTGCCCATTTATTCAGAGATTAATTCAAATTCCACTAAAGTTAAAAATTATACAGTCAAATTTACCAATTAAAAATGCGAAGACAGTTTTTACCGATGGCTCAGGGAGAACCGGCAACGCTGTGATCGTTTGGCAAGAAGATAATAATTGGAAACAAGATATTCACAAAGTACAAGGTTCCCCTCAGATAGTGGAACTTTCAGCAGTTGTGCGTGCCTTTCAAATTTTCTGTGGTGAACCCATCAATATTGTTTCTGATTCGGCCTACATTGTTGGTGTGGTCAAGAGAATTGAAAATTCATATCTAAAAGAAGTCTCAAATGAAAATTTGTTCAGATTGTTGACCAAATTGGCATTTTTAATTCAGGTCCGAAAATTTGGCTTCTTCATTGTCCACACCAGGTCACATACTGCTTTGCCAGGTCCTGTGGCGGAGGGAAACCAGCGTGCCGACCATCTGGCAGGTATGGTGGTCACCCCAAACTTATACCAACAGGCAAAATTATCACACGAGTTCTTTCACCAGAATGCGCGATCGTTACAAAAACAATTCGGTCTCAAAATTTCACAGGCCAAAGAGATTTTAAAAGCGTGCCCTGATTGCCAAAATTTCACGCCACTCACCCCAGAAGGAACCAACCCGAGGGGCTTGATGGCGCTAGAGATTTGGCAGTCAGATGTCACGCATGTGGCCGAATTTGGGAAACTAAAATATGTTCATGTATCTATTGATACATTTTCAAAAATGGTTGTAGCCACCGCGCATTCCGGTGAAAAGAGCCGAGACGTAAAGAAACATTTCCTGTCTGCATTCGCTAGGATGGGTGTACCAAAGCAGATAAAGACCGATAATGGGCCATCCTATGTGTCTGCAGACACGAAAAAGTTTTTTGAACAATGGGGGGTGCACCATACCACCGGGATCCCTCACAATCCCACAGGGCAAGGCATAGTAGAACGTGCCCACCAAAATATCAAAAATTTGCTCAAAAAACAAAAAAGGGGGAGTATGGGCCTGACTCCCCAAGAAAGATTAGACAAAGTTATGTATGTTTTAAATTTTTTGAATATGTTGGAGGAATCAGAAACTCACATAAACAGAAGTCCAGCACAGCGGCACTTTACATCAGAGTCTGGTTCTACCACAGTAACATCTCAGAAAGCTAAAGTTATGTACCGGGACCCACTGACCGAGAAATGGACGGGCCCTTTCCCCTTAATCACCTGGGGGAAGGGCTACGCCTGTATTTCAGGTCAGGAAGGACCAAAGTGGGTCCCAGCTCGACGCGTGAAGATCACTCAAAGCTAAAGAAGACGCAACCGACATGAAAGCAACAAACGATCTCCTCCTCATCATCATCCTCTTCGGGACGACTCCTCTCACCACAGCAATCCCACTAAGGCAGTGGATGGACCAACCCAAAGAAAACCTATGGGTAACACTGGCCAAGGTGACGGACACAGATACCCTGTGTCTGTCCTTGACCAGCGCAGCCAGCCCATTTAAAACATGCTTGGTGGGAATCCCCATAACACCAGGGGAATGGGACGCGTTTGTGTCCCAAACGCGGTTCCGAGGAGCGATGCCGCTTAACTCTCCCAATCTCGCCCAGGCGATTGCGGCACTTACGTTCATAGATATCCCTTTCCAAGAAATTGATCTTTTAGGTTCTCTCCCTACCCTTGCGTGTGTTATGTTTCACAGGTACACCCAACCAGTTTTGTTTACCCCTCATGATGTTACCCCTAACAAACCACTGTACCGGGGGACCACTTCGTCGTGGTGTAATGGGTCAATGGTCACCACCATACCCACGGAGCATGTTCCTCGGAACATGCGCTTACCGAAAGGTTATTTCCTGCTGTGTGGGGATCGGGCATGGCCTGGAATTCAGGCTTACCCGGAAGGGGGTCCCTGCGCAGTAGGAAAGTTGGCCCTTTACAATCCGGCGAAGTTTCAAATGACAGAGCAAGCCATCCTTCCCAGATTCAAAATCAAAAGGTCCCTCCGGGAGAATGATGAATTGGTAACCCCAACCCTTCCTAAACTTAAACATAACGAACCCGGATCTCCAAAACCCAACAATCGAGCAAAACGGGATTGGAGATTCCCCCCAGGATCGAAAACACAGACAATTAAACCTCAGACCACCGCTCCCAAAATTCGTAATGCGATTCCGCCTGGGGGTGCTGGGATCGTAACCATACCGCCTCCTCTTCCCTTCCCGGCTGATTGCGATTCCAGCATTCACATCTGGTCTCGCATGAAAAATTTCTGGGCATCCTTCCCTATCCCTGGGATTGGTACGACCCGAAGTTGCCACCTCTCCTGACCCTGATATCCAATCCCTGCCTTCCCTGACCTGCCAATCTTTTTCTCCTCCCCTCACTTGAGCCCAACCCCTAGTCCACCTCTATATAAGTCTGAGTCCCTCATAATAAAATTGGCATTGCTTCCCGACCCTCAGCTGTGTCCTAGCCTTTTTTGCAGTGCCCTGTCCCTCTCCTTCAACCCACGAGCTGTGGCAGTGAACCACAGGCAAAGTTTTCTCTGATGCAGAAGCATAACTACAGCACTTCACTACTTGTCTACAGGACAGAGAACCTTTGGGGTGTTACATCAGAGTTTCTGCTTTGGGTTAGAAATGCTAATGGAAAAATACTGAAATTGTGTGTAATATATTTTTGATTAAAAATCTCCATTGTTACTGTACAGTTTGTTAGGAGTTTCCTTTGTTAGAATTTAATAACTAGTTTCCTAGTTATTAAATTTACCATGATAAAAGTATCTGAATTTTCAAGTGCTTTTCTATTATGTAAGACCTAAACTTACGGTCACAGAATATCTCAAGTTGGAAAGGAACAGTAAAGATCATTGAGTACAACTCTCTGCTACTCGCAGAACTACCTAAAACTGAACCACAAGACTAGGGGCATCATCCAAGCTCTGGCAGCTTGAGGCCACGACCACTTCCCTGGGGAGTCTGTGACAGTGACTGACCACACTCTCAGTGAAGAACCTTTTCCTCACGTACAACCTGAACTTCCCCTGATGCAGCTTAATTCCATTTCCTTGTGTCCTGTTACTGGTCACCAGAGAGAAGAGATCAGCACTTCCCCCTCCACTACCCATCTTGAAGTTGTAGACTGTAATGAGGTCTCCCCTCAATCTTCTCCAGGCTCCTCCTCTAATAGCCTAATCTCTTTCCTATATTGTGGTGCCTAAAACTGCACACAATATTCAAGGTGAGGCCACACCAGTGCAGAGTAGAGCAGGACAATCCCCTCCCTCAACCGGGTGGTGATGCTTTGCCTGATGCCCCCAGGACATGGTTGGCCCTCCTGGCTGCCAGGGCACTGCTGACTCATATTCAACTTGCCTTTGACCAGGACCTCCACAGCCCTTTCTGCAGGGCTGCTCTCCAGCTTCTCATTCTCTAATTTGTATGTATAATCAGAACTACCCTTGTCCCAGGTGGAGAATCTGGCACTTGCTCTTGTTCAACGTCATGCAGCTGCTGATTGCCCAGTTCGCTAGTTTATCCAGATCTCTGTGCAGGGCCTCTCTACCCTTGAGGGAGTCCACAGCTCGTCTCAATTTAGTATTGTTAGCAAACTTACTTAATGTACGTTTGACTCCTCTCTTTACCATTTATAAAAACATTAAAGAGCACTGGCCCTTTTACTATAATTCTTTGAGCCTGACCTGTCGGCCAGTATTCTTGAGTATTTTATATTAGCTAACAGGTCAGTAAGATCTTTCAAAAGTTTGTTATATTGTCCTTTGCTTAATCTGACTATTTTGAAAAAATTGATTAAATTTTACTCCTGAACTAAGGAGTCTTTAATTTTTTTTAAGTGCTATTTCTGTGAAAGGTTTCATTTGCATTCATAGGTGATAGGTTACTGATTTTCCATTTAATACTTGACATTGTGTTGAATGTTCACATTTAACCTTTTGAGATGTATGCTTCCTGTTTATGTAAGTAAAATATACTATGCCAGTTCCTTAACTTAAGGAAGAAAGATGGCTTTTAGTCTTGCTTCCTTTAGAACAAGCGTGTAGTTCAGATTTATTTCAGATCAATATAAAAAAAAATTGTCTCTGGTCTAGAGAACAGCCACAGTGGGGCTCCTGGAAAGTGGTAGGAAGAGCACTGGTGAAAGGAAACATGCTGTGATGGAGGAATTTGATTTCTTTGTTGCTGTAAGAGCTACTGAAAATGGAAGTTACTCCTTGCACTTGATAATGTGCAGATCTCAGAAAGGAGTAAAAAAGGAGGTGGAAATTGAAGGAAAGGAGTATGGAAATTCAGTGCTATCTGCCGAGGCTGGAATGGTTCTAAATGGTTCTGTAACCTCACTTGAGTGAGTTGGCAGCTTTGAATGACAATGTAAGCAGTAAGGGTGAAAATCAGCAACACAACCACTATGGATATGAAAGTATTAGCTGGTGTAGTGGTGCCATGCTTTGGGTTTCTGACAGAAGCTGTTGATAACAAAGGGATGTTTTAGCTACTGCTGCGCAGAGCTTACACAGAGTTAAGGCCCTTTCTGGCTCTCACCCCACCCCACCGGTGAGGAGGCTGGGGGTGCACAAGAAGTGGGAATGAACACAGCTGACCTCAAGTGACCACAAGGATATTCCAGACCATATGGCATCATGCTCAACGTATGAAGCTGGGGGTGAGGGTGAAGAGTTTGCCAGAGCTGCTGCTGTTCAGGGACAGACTGGGTATTATGTGGCTAGTGGTGAGCTACTAGGGTTTTTTTGGTATCACTTCGGGGTGTTGGTTGGTTTTTTTGTGTTTGTTTTTTGCCTATTAAACTGTCTTTAATTCAATCCATGGGTTTTCTTTTATTCTTCTCTCCCCCATCCCACTGGGGATAGTGACTGAGCAGCTGTGTGACATGGATGTCTTTGAGGCACTTGGAATACAGGTCTAATAACACAACCCACATTTTAGAGCTTTGGTGACTGTATCTGAGTCTTGTGCTGGTTGCAGACACTACATCCCATACCATTCTATTTAAGGTGGAAGAATCAATTATAGAAATATTTCTCATAGGAAGTGGTCAAAAATAATAAAGAAGAAATTCTTTATGTCAAGCTGAGAAAACTAAAGTTGTATAATCATCTTAAATTTTTTTCTTGAAGAAACTATTAAGAAGCAACTAGCAATCTATGGAAAACTTTTATCATCTAATATTCCATAAGACATTGCCATTTGGGAGAGTATATATGCTGCATCTCAGGAGATGATGTAAGATCAGAAGAAATACCGGTGGAGACAGTTCTCCATGAGACAGTTACTTGGTCCAACAAAGGACACAGCAGTAGTGGTACAGCATTTTGGTTTTGAGGACCCTGGTTTCCCATTTTTGGAAATGCAGGCAAGAAGGGAAGGTCCTAATCATTGTTGGAGCATCTTGGGGAAGGTATTAAGAAGTCAACATCTCTCCTCATGCCCTATAACTCCTGGCAGTCTGGTGGCTGTAAAGCATGTGGTGCCTGAGCCAGGGCAGAGCCTGCCAGCTGGAACCATCCCACACGGTGCCCATCGGCCCATGCGACGTAACAGCGTATTGCTTTGATCAGCTTTCACATACACAAGACTTGTTTGTACTAGAAAAGTGACTTACACGGCAAGTAACCACTTCTGGGAGTAAAGGATCTGTTACTCATTTTACCCTGAAAAATACAAGCAAGTAACTGCTAGTCTGATTTATCCTTCACAATAGCTTCATTTTCTTTGGTGTAAGCCAGTGCCCATGTATCCATTCCTTATTTAGCTGCTTTTATTTACAACTTCTATATCCTCAAGAAAGGCAAGCTTAGTTTGATTTGACAGGTTTTTCCTGGTAAGAACATCTACTATTTCATTCATTTCCTTTCTTCAGGTGGTCAGAAAGCCAATGGCTTTAGCATTTACTATCTTAATTAGTGAATGTCACTGTTAACAAATTTCTGCCCTTTATTTAAAACAGTGGAAGAAGTTTATTATAACTTAAAGCAGCTCCTGTTCCACATCTCAGTTGAAGGGAACTTTTGAGATTACCTACAAGGTTATAGTTTTTGCCAGCTTGCCTTCTCTAACCACCCAGTATCTCTCTTCCTTTATGTAGGTGAACCTCAGAAATTATTTTTGGGAAAGGAGGGGGAACAATAATAATAAAATCCACATCCACAGGAGTTGCATACTGGTTGTACTGATATATTCCAGGCTTGTGTGGTTTTTACATTTATATAGTTTACATTTTGCTTGACCCATAAATAACACTTGCAAGATTAAGAGGGCCATAGAGAGTATTTACATAGCCCCACCATGCATACAGAGCTTTTAATACCTAGTAGACAAAATTAAGCTGTTTTGCACTGAACATTTTTCAATATTTTTCAGCTTAAACCCCCTGACTAAAATACAAGCAATATTTCATCCATAATGCTGCTGTTAAACCCTTAACAAATCTAGTTTGATCTTGTAACAAACTTCTTCAAATTCAGGGATATAAAAATATTCAGATTTTAAAATTTTAACTGTACAATATGTACATTAGTATTTGCACTGTTAAATTATGAATACATTTAAGCCTATGAAATACTACATTATAAATATCAATGTTTTTGACTTAGAATTGCAGCTAATACATTTTAAAACCTGGATAATGCATGTGAAAAGACACAATTCTGGAGCCTAATCCTTTAAGCCCTTATGGAAATATTTGTTACGTAAGTAGATTCATTGACTTAAATGGGGTTACATGCCTGAGCAAAGGACTCCAGCAGTTTTACCTCTCTCACTGCTGAGGGGTGGGGGGCACGACAGAAGAAACATCACCACTCATTGGCAGCTAAGTCCAATTCCAGCAGCTGGATTAATACCTTCCTTTAAGCAGGCACAAAAAAACCCCAAAATCCAAAACAACCACCTTACACTTTCTCAAAAAATTGTGGAGGAAAATCCATGAAAGTTAAGTGTATAAACCATTTACTGTAGCTCTAGGATACATCAAGGCTTTCAAGCATTTCAGCTCCCACATTCTGATTTTTACCTCTTTAAGGAGCATTTTCTCAACTTAAAAAAAAATAAAGTTCCAGTTTTTGTGCAGAAACTTGAAAGGGGAAGAATGAGCTTTATCTGTGAAGAAAAGACACAGCATAGAGCCTTCTTTTTCTTAGCAGCAAGAGGAAAAAGTCAAAAATCACCTATATGGATACAGCTACAGCACAGGACTGACATTTTTATTTACTTATCTTTGTTGAATCCTCTCTCAGATAATTCAGTAGGTGAATAGCGAGCATAAAATAAAATGTCTACAAAAAGTCTCTATCAAGAACTGCAGTAACAGTATTTTGACAGCTGAAACACAGTATGTAAACCTAGCGGTATCTGAGCAGATCATTTGGTGTGGGGACATTTCTGAATGTTACTTGTACAATGTAAACTCTGGCAGGGTTATCATTTACAATGGCAAAGCATTAAGAACTTTAGCAACTTGTCTAAGTACAATTATTAATATAAAAAGATGTGGTTCATACTGTAGCTACAGAGTTGACTGGTGTTCCCAATTAAGAAATATTAAGAATTAATTAAGAAATAATGCAGTTTTTTCCTTTGTGTCCCCTCTTCTTCTTTGATTTGGTTGTCCTTTGTCCAAACTGAGAAGTAGATAACGCAGTAGTTGGACCAGAAAGATCATCTGTATAGTATGGATATCTCAGTGACCGTGGTTGTGGAATTGGCTGTCCTAGAAAATATCCTTCCTCTTCAGAATCGGATGATGAGG